TTACCTTTCGTATTGAATTTGATTTCTTAAGTGCAGTAATCGATAAAACATAAGAGAATAGAGCACTATCTTAATTCGATGGTCCTCATAAATATTTAACAACAAAATTGCGTTTTATTGACGTCTATACGCAGTGGGTTTATTCCTAACTCCTAATTTTGAACAAATGATAAACCTTATGAGCCATTACAATTCGGTATCACGAAAAGAAAGCTACTCTCCAAAACTAACTTCATTAATCATTTGCGGACGATTATTAAGACAACCGAGAATTAAATCTACAAATTCTCTTGTTTTTTATTAATTCTATATATCTCCGTTACATATAATAAAATCGCGCTAACTGTCTGTTTGTTATCACGTAAAACTGCAGGAGTAATGAAGATGACATTTTCACTAAATATGTTCTTAAACGTGTTTTACATATAGGCTTTACATCTTATATAAATTTCCTTCAAACAAATTAGTATTTCTTTTTTTTATTGTAAATATGCTTAAATTGTTATTTAATTTATTAATAAAATAATAGATGGCGTTGTTTAAATGCTTTATATAAATTTTCCTTTTAATCATCGTCAATAAATGGTATCTACAAATATACGCTGATACAGTTGCTGAAACTGAAAACTATAATACTTTTTGTTTTATATAATTATTCAAAAAGTGTGCAATAGTGAATTGCAATATAATATGATTATTATGTAGAGGTTAATTTGTTATATAAATGATTGTAAAATGGTCGATTAAACTTAAATATTTAAACCGAATAGTGCATGCAAAATGGTGTATCTAAGTATTTATGATACTATTTGTCTAGTTAATCGAATGGATGACATCACTCCCAAATAGTAAAGGCGCCTGACTGCCTTTTCTATTGATGATGTGAGTGAGTGATATCAAGCTAATAAGTGGATAGATAGACTGATACACTTAAAATTAAATTTATTTTGAATTCTTTAGATATAGCAGATGTATTTAATTACCTAATAATATAATTCAAACGTCATTATGTAATAAAGAAATATAACTATCCATAAGTTAGGTTTAAGTTTATTAAAGTCGTTCTTCTACCGATTCGAAATTGTTTAATTCTCGTTCTCAATATTGGCCCGTCCAAGATTATCCATTGTTCGCCCACGGGTTACGTAAGCTGCATCACACGTTTTGCGAAACTTCAATTGTAATTCAACTACTTTTTACGAAACTAAGCAGCGTTCTTTCTTTAGAAGGTTAATGTAGAATTTTAATGTAATAAATAACATTTATTAATTTGACAGTTTCTCACAAATACATTGACTTAATAGATCTGCTTTTGGCGACTGGTAATCAAAACTGAATGGCTGATATAGATTTTGATGCGTATGATTAATGAGTACCTATAACTTATAAGTAATTAATTAATTGAGATGACTTTGAATTACAGTTTCAGCATTAATTGGCATATTGCCATAGCATAAATAGGTGGTACAATAGTATAATATAATCTAACAAACTGTAATTGGGAACATTTTTTAATAAATAATATAGGCTCCATTTTGGCGAATGTGCTCAAGAACTGCACAACCTCATTCCTACCGTTCCATCAACGTACAACAAGACGTAGAGAGCGGCTCCATACAATATTGTCCCAGCTGCTCGAACTAACCGTTTTGCATCATCTTTCCTTATGCGAGCAGCTAGTGGAACTCTCTAAGCGTCTATACAGCATTGGGTCTTTTAACAGAGTGAATGTATTATTTGAGCTTGCGTGTAACAGCTTAGACCACATCATCACTTAACATCAGGTGAGATAAACGCGCTCAAATTATGATATAAAAAAAAAAAAATCATTTTAGACAATTTATACAGTAGTATGCAGTTCTAAAATAAACAGAGCTTGTGCTAGTAGTCTTAAACGATCGATAGAATTACTTAAATATATTTTTACAAATTCATTTGATCACATTATTTCCAATATATTAGGTACAATTCGGGAGCTCGTTGTTTCCTCTAGAGATCATAGACCATCCAATGAATTCACTATATTAAATTTAATCTGATTTCGTTGCGATCGTGTCGTTCTTCATTCATAGTTCCCTGAAAAAGCTCGGAGAATATCAGCAAACAACAAATCTATCCATGCGTCAACTCCTCGAAATCTGTCTCGAATTTTCGGAAAAGGTTCTCGCAATAAGATAACTAAAGGCCAATTGATAGCAAAAGTGGCAATGAAGAATATAAAAAAGGACGATCCCAAATGTGACTGTTCCGCAAAACTTTGCTTCCCGATATCTGCTCAGCAGAATTGGTTTATGTAAATATACTGCTATCAGCGATAAGCCGCAAAATAAGTTCCTTATCTTGTGAACTACGAGTATGTATTGATTTTCGAACTTCCTATCTCATAGTAAAATTTTCCATGTGTGAGACACGTAGTTTTTTATTGGGGTCACACGACAGAATAAATCTTTATACGTACGTTTAAACAATATCCATAATGCGAGGATTCAGTGGATGCTGAGGGTTTACTACGAAATGAAAAATCGAAAGTTTCGATCAAACGTTTTCTTCCAGAAACCAAGTACATTACATTCGTCCGTTGTAGACTTTATGGGCTTGTAGTCTTTCAGTTATATAAATTTGTGCAATTTTTATCCAATTAAAATTTTACAATATCGTTGTTGACCCGTTCGATTACTCGATTGGGTTCAGTTAATATTAGGCGATCTGTGGATTCAACTAAAAAAAAAATTGAAAGTTTAATGTGTAAACCGTTCTACTTGTTGTGCGTACGTTCTACAAGTTGAATAATAGTTTCAAATAAATAACTCGCATACCTAATACAATAATAGACTTACGACAATATTAAAAAAATGAATTTAGTCTTTAAAGTTAAAAATATAAAGCGGACTTTTAAAGTATAAACTTTTGAATTGAATTAATAACAGGTGTGCTATATGTACGTATACATTTGCAGAACAGAATTTCCCTAATTATAAGCCAAAGCCAAAGCTCTTTTGACATCAAATAATACATTAAAACAATAACCAGCAAGGAAGTCCAATACACTCATAAAACTACGCTTAACATGTTTTCATATTTCTGGAATTGCAATGAAGCGAACAGCTTACCTGACGGCAGTGGCGGTCCTTTTCTTTACATGAACAAGAACAGCACCACTGACCTTCTATTGGTACCTCTTATGCATTGCGATATCAGATGACTAATATAGCATGCCTTAATTCTCTCTAATATATGATTAGACTGATATAATTTGAATATAACAAAATTGCGTGGGTTGTTCAGATGCGATTACTCAAATTTGTAATTTCGCAGTAACTCCCTAAGTTCACTAACGTTCCTGTGTGTATAGATACAAATTTATAGGCGACGGCTGTGTTTAGCAGTGCTGGCTCTAAACATTTTATGACCGCCTAATTCTTACTACAATATTATAATTCTGAAAGGGAGTTTGTTTACTCCCTCTTCTTAGGTTTCGGTTTGGTGGATATATATACCTACTTATTAGTCATATCGGTTGATATGAAATAGTTGAATCCATCCCATCCAAAATATATTTTATGTTAGTATTAAAAAAAAAAAAGTAGTTTCCTAGTACCCATAAAAAAAGCTTTGCATAACTTGGGATTTGATGATGTCCTATTTTACAATATTAATAAAGTTTTATTAAAATCAACATGAAATTATACATATTAAAATATCATATTAGAATTCATATTGAAATACTTTATACTTTCTATAGAAAAACTATAAATAATTATTTCATAACACGTATTGTAAAAGTCAACCACAAGTTATAGATCATATTAGATACTAATTTACATTGATGTTTAAAAATAACAGTTCATAACGGATACTAAATTACTATCATTTTTCATATATAGAAACAACTGTGGAATGATGTAACTATCAAAAGAATAAATTATATATGCCGTATATCCACAGAATATCTTCATCAATATTATGCGTCCTTAAAGGAAGAAAATTGTTAATAAAGGGAACCATACCGCAGATAATGACTACGATTCTCCTCCATTCAGGTCTACAACGGTCTGTGGACCAGATTATAATTATTTTTAGTAAATTCATCACAATGTGCTAAGCAATAAGTGCATTGCATAAATTCGTTAGCAGAAGCTAGTATATCATTAACTAAATCAATTATGATTATTTTTATATTTACGAATTAAATGCCATTCTTTCCAAATTCCAAATGAGTTCAAAGTTCTCATGCGTCCAACAAATTCCTTTTTTTCTGCAGTCGAGTAAAGGTAATTAATTTCAAGCTGTGAAATAACATAAAACATAATAGATAACTGACATTTATCAATATGTCTATACGTCGATCGTTTTCCTAGAACTCACCTTGAACTTGCTTGACCCGAGCTGTCAATGAATCTCCAACAATAGATAAAGTCGTGACCACGATCTATATCTGTAGGACAATAAACTCTTTATTACAATATTGTCTTGTACTTTGAATATAATTCAAAGAGCTTACGCTGTGCATATTCTTTCCGGTTTCTTTAAGGAATTTTTGTTGTTTATTTTTGCTATAGGTACGCTTTACATTGCTCTTTATAATCATACTAGATGGAGGATTGTTACTTTGTTAGTAATGCGGGGGAGTGTATGAGTGACCAGGATAGGTCACTCATACACCTTACCATACCAGGTCGACCTCGACTAATCGGCTAATTGATATGATTATTTCATGCGCGTACTATCAACCTTCATTAATACGTACTGTTGGTTCATACCTTTAGAACAGGTGGATCCATTATATTTCTATAGAAATCAAAGAAATAGAAAAATAGACCTAAAAATGGCAATAAAAATAATCAATGTATTTTTTAGTATAATTAATCATAATCCGCTCAGAGTAAGAAATGATATACCGTAACACAAATTAAAACTGCAGTGAAATTTTATACTTTCACCTGCAATTTATAAAATAGACATGAAATACAATTAAGGTTAGATATATTAAAAACCACAAAATTTATAAGTTTGAATATATTACTATTTAATACATTAGAAAATAAACAAAACATGAGGCCGTACAAGTTATAGTTTCGCTTCTACCTGATAATAATAATAACTTCTTTATACAAAATGCTATTGATATATACACTACGAACTTTTAAACTTGCTGCCTACGTACTTAAACTATTATACTTTTATAGAAATATGTATTATTCATTTTATAGATATACCTACGCAATGAAAACCGATATCAAAGAATACTTATAAAAGTAAAGATATTATCCTACTTCCGCTTACGTTAATTCCTGAAATTTTCAGAGCTATATTAACATTTGAGATCATCTTACTATATAAAGACATGACAGAAGATTGAAGACATTATTACTTAAAACTAAGTAAAATTCAATATAGCAGTCTCTATATTTTGATCATAAATAACCTTAAAAATAATACAATGATAATTTTAAATCAGAGAAGAAGGAGAAGAATCGTAAGAGCCGCATTCTGATAGTGAACGCTTAGTAATTATTATCTCAGGAGGCGACGAAACAGTGTATGAATTGTTTGATGAATAAGAATTTTCGTTTAATCGACGATTCAGCAATAAATTATCTATTTCAAACATTAGCTTTTGCCTCTCAATCTGTGAGAAATGTCGTAACTTCATAGCAAGGAGTTTTCCATATAATACACAGTCATCCTCGTCCTCATGACATAATTTTCTTTGTTTATCTTTCATAGGATGATTTGATATATTGAATTCATTTGCTATACTTTTCTTACTGTATTCTTGTAAATCTATTGATCTGTTCAATCGTCGTTTTCGTAGAGAAGTCTTGTTGTATTTTTCACATAAACTTTCATCATATTCTTCATCAGCCTCTGTCTCTTGCTCAATAGATATATGTTCCTGAAAAAAAAAATAGAAATTAAACGTCATATATCCGACATCTTCCTTACTTTACTACTAGAATTCTAGAGTGTGAAAATGTTTTACCTCTAAAATACCAGATTTGTCCGATGAACAATCTTTGTATTTATCTTTTAAAAACAGTAGCAACTGAAAACCAAACCACTTCGAATTTATTTCATCTGCTTCCCTTCCCGGTACCGATTTTCGCAATTCCCTTTGAAACTGTCCAATCAGATTTCTCACTTTCCTCTCTACTATGCTTTTGTCAATATCAAATTTTTTAGCCAAATCTATCCACGCGTCGTGTTTTTTGCCGCGATCTCTGTAATCGTCGCATTTGGAATCCCACAATTCTCTTTTTTCCTTGAAATATTCAATCAGCAAAGTTGTATTTCTTTTATTCCATTCCATAGTCAAAATATATCCACAAAAATTGAATACGTCCTACTTGATCTGAACGCAATTGTGAACTACAGACCGGGCGGGTGAGGGGAGCCAGTTGCGCGAGTAACGCGTATGTTGAATACAAGTTATATAACATGTTGTACATACACACAACAAACAGCGATGTTTATGACACAAGCACGTTCAACACAATATATTTAACATGTTATTTGAAAATGTAAATTTTATGCCGCGCTAGTGTATTCCAGTTTACGCAATGTTTCTCTCTAGACACTAATCATAATTTATACAAATTTTTTGCGTGTATAAATTGCGATAATTTAAAATTTAATTGATATATTATTGATTCATATACACAGTTGGGTATATTATTACAATGATAATGTTTAAGTTGGTACCCAACATCAAATGCAAAGGCATATGAAATAGGCTGGTATGTATTACAGTATTTGCACCGGTCTGATACTGCCCGATTCAGTGACAAGACATCTTAGTCTTCCTGAATGGCAACTCATTAGTTGGACCATGGGAGTTACATGATGAAGTGACGTCTGTGGTGTTACTTATAATAAGTCATGGTGACTACTTACTATCAGGTGGGTCATCACCTTATTTACAATTTCAGATACATAACAAAAAATATTTTAGTGTCATGCAAAAACGTTCTAGATTCTAAGAAAATTACGTAATATTTTTACATAATTATACGTTTGTAGCATAAAATAAACTTTTTAAGACGCGTTTAAAAAAACACTTATACGGAAACGTAACGTTTTAAATGCGAAAACGTTAGGCGGTCACAAAAGCCGGCTGGTGACTTTGTGAGTTACCGGGCCGGCATTAATTATCGCTTTGATCGCTCGTGCAAACCTACCGAGCTGATTAGAGTTAGTACGAACTGTTTATTCTTTTGTTCAAATCTGTTGATACAGGCACTTGAAATAATGTTTACCTACTTACGCATCTGAGCGGAAATATGAACAAATCTTTCACAAACATTAACATGTCGACTTATTATAACTAAAAAACCCTTTATTCATTAAAAAATTAAAGTATTCTACAATTTAAACAACTTAAATGTTAATAAAATTAATAAATTGAGAAAGTCGTGGTCTAGAGGTTCTCTACTACTTTTACTTAAAGGACATGAATTCAAACTTGGTCAAAATCAAAAACGATTTTGACCAAGCTTGAATTCAATTTATATTTCTGACTGATTCTTCAGTGGTGTAATCATCAATAACAAACTAATCTGATAAATGACAATAGGCTCTCTCCCTGCCATGTAGGACATTAATATATCAAGTGAACTGTACGCATAGCCAGTAATAGTTATGAATTAAAAATGCCTCTGAACTTCCCCAAAGTACAAAACTTTTTTTTTTTACTTATTTAGACAAAATCGTCTGCATGGGTGTCTATCTCATATATCAGTGATCATGCATCTGAATGGTGAGATATGTCATATGACACTAAAATTAGAGGGCTAAGTATAAGTAATGGAAGCATGTCACCTTAGTTCTTCAGAATGACAGTGCATGAGGGGTATTCTTTTTTTATTGACGATAATGAAATGGTGGACCCGCCTGCGCTAACAGTATACGCTGGCGGGGCACCAGTGGAGGATGATAAGATGAGCATGACGCACGAGAGGTATTAAGCGCATCATATGATTATGTAATATATCCGTGGTGTTGTTCATGTATATTGACAATGGTTACCTTACCATCAGATAGGCAATCGTATTTACCATTAAAGTTACATAAAAATTACAACAACAAACAGTAGTCAACTATCGACCATATACGAAGCGACATGTGGAAATAACGTTAAAAATAATGAGTATTTCAAGTACCTGAATGTTTATATTTTAGGTTCGCAATCGTATAATTACGAAATACGTATTCAGTACATGAATATGGCATACGTATAATACGACCTTAATGATAATTCCCTTGCAAATTATAAAAAAAATACGTAATGTTTTATTATATAAGTATGTATGTATTATATTATACACAGCCGTATTACGGTATCGCGAACGTTATGATAAAAAAAAGTTGCACAAAGAAGTATTATATTCTGTACAATACACTGAAATATTCACAATGAGGCTATTACGGAGTGATGAGATAAAATGACAATGTGTAATCTTATTTTTAACCGCACACGGAAATAAGGGAGATTATTTCATCTGTTTTTCTTAATAAATATGAAGTCGGGATTAAAAGGCATGCTATGCTGAGAAGCCATGTCTTAAAGAAAGTGGTAAACTAACACGAACGTGGGTAGATGAAAGGGAGGGAACGATCAAAAAAAGAGAGATAAATTGTTTACAAGATGACATGTATAAAAGGAGAGAAAACTCAGATATGACTGCTGATATGATTCAGTAGGAGAAGAGGACATACTGCGCCGATCCCAAATAATGAGATAAAGGCAAAGCAATGACTGGTGACGGTTAATAAACATGGAGTGGCCATTCCGTCATAGCGCTTCTGCTATGGACCTTTAATGGTGATGGATATCAAGAGTAAACCGGGCAGACACTTACCTTTGATGATGATGAGGATGATGAGGATGATGCTGGACCAGGAGGTCGACCTGATTGAGTTATGGATTAATAGAGTTACTAGTTCACATTAATATCAATCCTCTCCCCCATATTTTGCTTACACATGCACTTATTTGTGAACGAGTATTAAGTCTTCCTTCCGAACATAGTATCTCGAATATTCATAAAAGTGAAGACGGAAATATAAACCCTAAAATGTACTGAATTTGCAAAACGTAGGATACAAATACTCCTAATAGTGGCGTGTGGCCACATTTTTCTTAATGCATCCTCTTTATTTCTCCCGAAAATGGAGGCAGTGAGATTAATGGGTAGATTTCACGGAGTGTTAACTGGAATAATTTCAAGTGATTTTTTTCCCCGTTTCCGCCTTCGTTTGCCGATGGAATATACTAGTTTTTTTACATAGCTTTATGTATTTCGTGTTATTTTCAAAATAATAGGTATCGTTAATTTTAAATAATAGTTTATGTTTGTTTCTTAGTGATGAATTATTGCCAAGAAACTGTAACAACGTATTATACAAATGAGCTTCGTTAAAGTATGTACATATTTTTATTATTATTTCAATTTAGACTAAAAAAAATTCACTACCATATCTCACTCTACAACTAAAACATATTTTACAAATCAAACTACTTCGCATCCAGAAACAAGGCGAGATGTCTTGTACAATTTTTATTACTGAGATAAGAAATAAACAAATAAAATAAATAAAAGAATATATACAACTCCATTGATTATTAATACCTGGTAAGACTATATACAAATACAATTTAACAATAAACGCATGCTTGTATGTGTCAAATACATGGTATTTAAATAATGTATTTTTTATTATTATAATAAAAAAAAAATACATTCTACATTCCTACATAAACTATAAGCGTGCGAAATTTCATACTTCATTGTCCGTGATATTTTCGTAAAAAGGAGTGGAAAGTTTATGCTTCACGTTTTATATATAGATATGGAGATCTGCAAATGTAAATGTGTACGAAGTCCCGGGCGTCACTAGTAAGTAGATTATAATATTGCTAATAAATCACAGACATATTCTCTGATGTAAGTTGACAGGTCGATGTAATTACTAGACCGCAACGTCACAGAATATTTTCAATACAAAATGGAAATTCAATATTCAGAATGCTATGACATCGATGATTGATTTACCTTTCGCGTTCACTGACATTGTATACACATACTGTTTGTTACTTTAGTAGTATTTTTAAACAGCACAACGAGAAACCAGAATAAACTGCTTTTTAGAAAGAGATTTAGAGTTAATCATTCCTAAAAGCTATAACAAACTTATTTATTGCAGAATTTTGCAATACAAAATAATAGAAAAGAGGTACCTATGACCTCACAGAATGACATAATATCCATGGTGATGTTCAAAACGATGGTTGTCACTTACCATTATTACGATTTCGACTTATTCTTTGAAAAAAAAAATACAGTTCTTTATAAACCGTAATATTACCGTATATTAATATGTATCTTTCAGTCATTCATCATATAACGGTCAAACGAGCTCAAATTTTAATATAAAAAAAAACCAATAATAATGATCTAGCATTCGTATCTTTAAATATGGATACGACACGACTCCTGTTTTGGCCTCAATTTGCTTAATGTAACCATGTCGTGGTTTCCTTCTTTTCTCTATTTGTTACTATAGGAATTACATAAATATGCTTACAATTATATCTTCTTACTTTCCAATACAGTAAGTAAAAATGAAGTGATTACATTTCTCCACAACAATTATACCGAATTTTATAGCAACAAGGTCTATGCCAATTATTCGAATAAACTATAATTATAACTATAATTTTCATACCTAGTTCGCTTCTATGAAACTAGAATTAGCTTGTACAGTGAAAGAAATTTGGGCATACAGTACATTCTTTTGTATATTTTGCATTTCCATAATACTGTCATTTGGCAAATGCCTCTAGAATTCCACACTTACTCTCGTGTCGTCCCTTTCGTTTTTAATACTATCTCTCATCCTTTCCCTTTCTTCTGAAACCGGTTACGGGTCGTTGCGGTTTCAAAGTAACATATTACGAAATAGCATAACATTATTATACAATGTTTGTGTATTATGCTTCACCCTGAGAACTTTTGTTTCCTTTATTGTTGTGCAAATGTGATAATAATTAACAATAGCTTTGATGTTCCTTTACGATAATGTACAGACATACCAATTTATAAAAAGTTAAGTAATTACAAGTATAAAAGTATATATAACTGTCTACTCGTCAATTTCTTCAATTAGCATTCCATTTAACTTTATAATGGCCAAATTATTTAAGTTGATAATAATAATAAAAGAATGAATATGCTAGCAGTAATATAACTGCTAAATTGTTCAGCTAAGGAATAATTTAATTTTGCTTAACTTTTATAAAACCTGATTTAATAAAATGTGAAAA